CAAGCAGCAAAAAACCGAAAGGACGCCAATTAATGCCGGAATTATTATCGAGCATTTTTGCCCAGCATTTCGCCTATGTTTGCCTTCTTGCTTAGGCTTAAAACTACTGCCTGTGAAAAAGGAATAACGGAGGTTGAGAGTCGTGGAGCAGGAAGGAATTATGGAAGTTGAAGGGAAGGGGAGATTACAGGATGGTTGAATCGTTATTTTGTTTCAGTAAACAACGGACTTTTCTCTTCTCGTTTTTGCCCAATTTTGATCTTGGAACAAAAAAGTGTCATCCTATTTACAAGGCTATTGTTTCATTCCATAATGCAGTCAGTTGCTGCTGCTGCTGTTGCTGTTGCTGCTGCTGCAAATAAAAGCCGACTTACTGATATTAGTAAGGTTTTGCTTTTTCTCATTTCCATTCTCTTTTTGCAACAAATAAAAAGAGAGACCTTTTATGTATTTTTTGAAGAATAACTTTTTTAAAATAATTTTTTTCGATTATTATTTTAATAATTTGGCAACAACGAAGAAGTTACTTTCACGTGACATTTTACCTGATCGTTCTGAGCAAGACGTTTTGTTTAGTTATTTTTTTTGTTTTTTGATTAAAACTCTAAAATGATTTGCTCGTTTTTTTTCTTTGGTCGCTTTTTTTACTTTGAAATATTTATTTAAAGAAATAAGTTGAAGAGTACAGTAATTGGTCTTCACGGTTACCGTCGTTGTTGTTGTTGTGCATCGTCGATGTTTACTGTGTGATGCTTCCAACTGTTATGTTGAGGAGCAGTTTTGTTTTCATTTTTTTTCTTCTTACTTTTCCCCTTATTAGTTCTCAACAAATTTTATTTATTCTTTTTGCTACACTGAAGTGTTATGCTGTTAAAAGTACTTAGTGAAAGTCTTCAGCAGTTTTTAAAATTTTAGAAGTTTTATTTCTAAGGAAAGATGACATTAATCGGCTTCTTCACCCCACCGATTTTTTTCCAACTGCTTTTTTTGTGCAAAAAAAGTCAAACAAAGTATATCATCTATTCTGAAATGTCTATCGGATGGTATCATTGTTTCTCCTGGCTTTTTAGCTTTTAAAATGAAGATTCTTTGAAGACGTTTTTTTTTTCCAAAACAGATAAAGGATTTATGCTCATTTCCTTGGTTTTTAATTGTATTTTTGCAATGAACTGTTGTTCACTTATGCTGTTATAGTGTACAAAATAACTTAGTTAAAATTCCGTTTCTTTGTTTTCGTCGGGGCAATTGTTCCTTGTTTTTATTAAAGTAAAAAAAAATTTTTTCAGTAACCCAAAGAAGTATAAAATTATGTTCTGTAGTGAAATTGGACAAAAAAATGTCATATTTTTTAAGAAATTATAATAATAGTTCGTGTGCCGATTCACATTCTGCAAATTCATCACTTGCTACCGCCGATCTACAAAAAAATTCTGTCGAAGGTATTGTTTAATTCCTTATTGTTTTTTCCTTAGAAACAAAGCAGCAAATTTCCTATTTATATATAAATTCCTCTTTTTGCATACATCTATTCTAAACTTAAGATTGAGCAAAAAAGAGAGACAGTACAGTTGGCAGATATCTGGAACTTACAATGACAGAGTTTTGTTGTTGCTTAATACGGATAGTTGAAAATCTACGTTATTTATTTGGTGGATTAACGATAAGTTGATAGAATAAGTTGAATGCTTAGCACTACTACAGCTAGCTGGTTTTGCTTCCTTTTTTTCCTACCCATTTTAGCTTGTTTTAGTTGGTTCAGAAGTAATCAAATTTTCATGAAAATCTTTATCTTTTCTCGTTTCTTTTCTTTTTTTTTTTGTTTTGCTCTCCTTCTGCCGCAGCTTTTCATATTCTCTGTGTAATAGACTAAAGGAACTGCCCTTTTTTTGGTTTCTTTGTTTAAAAATAGCTATCTACGATACTGGTTAAGGAAGAGGAGACAGGAATGGATGTGGAAGGAAAAGATTAAAATGATCGCTTTTTGTTTCGTTTTTTTGAACTAACCAAGCACTGCTAGAAGAAAAAAATGACAGGAAAAGCCATACGATATTTTGATGAGATTATAAACCGTATTAAACGGCGACATAAAGCAAAAGAACAGCTAAAAAAGTGATTCTTAAGTATAAAACTAAAAGCTTAGTCAGTAAGGCAAAAAAATAATAGTTTAAATTTTTTGACTGGCAAAATTCAGATGCCCTGCAAAGTGGAAAGTTATCAACACAGTTATTGTCACTGCTCAAACACTGTTCAAAATTACCAAAAAAATCGTATATTTTACGGATTCCAAATGGTGAAAAAAATGAATTGGATGGTCTAACAGGTCAGTCAATTTCTGTTATTTGTACAATTCATTTCGTTTTTTTGTCGTATTCTCGTTTTATCGTTTCTTGTTAATTTATCATAAATTACATTTTTGTTGAGTGTTTTTGTTGCTGTGATGGTGGTTGTTATTTGCACTTTATTTATTTATTTTTTCGGACGGAAGAGAAAGCTAATGCTGACTTGTCGATACTGCTAAAGGCATAGAAAGTTCTACCTCTTAGGTAGTTTACATTGGCTGTAAGAAAAAAAAAAAAAGAGGAAAAAAGTTTTAGTTTTGGTTCGAAATACAGTAGTATTTTAAGTGGTTGATTAAGTCAGAAATAATGTTAAAGAGAAATAACAAAAATAATGCTTCTTGAAATTTATTGTAAAATCACTCAATTTTTTCTCTTTTTTTTTTCGCTTTAACAATACCCGGTTTACTTTTTTTTTTGTATTACTAAATTTGTGATCGTTATTTGAAGGTCATACAAATTTTTAGAACTGTTAAGAGGTGGACTAAATCAATGGTTCTTAGATGACTGACTAAATGATTTTAACGATTTATTATTATTATTATTATTATTACTTTTATTAATGTTGGTTGTGATTTTGTTGTTTGTTGCTAGAAGTTTTGTTCCGCAACTCTGATACAACCACAGTAATAGAACAAACAGATTCAGCTAGCAGTCAACAGTATAGAAAAAATGTTCGAAAAAAGCCGGTTAAAGACGGGAGTCAGAATCAGAAGCAACAGCAGCAGCAGCAACAGCAACAGCAACAACAGGTTACCCAACAAGTGGCCATCGATTTTAGTCCATATCTTCAAGTGGTCGCCCAACCAACAGCATTTGCTGCAACAGCTTTGGCCCGAACTGTTGTTTTAAGGTTAATATTAAAGTGGAAGCAAAAAGAAAAAGAAAGATAGAGATTTTTTTTTCTGAAATAACAGTCAACTTTTTTTTGTTTTTGTTTTTTTGTTCTTTTTTTTTTTTTTTTTTTTTTTTTTTTT